TTATCATTAGCTTCCCCAAAATGAGCCTAAGGTGCCCATAGACATTAGATGGTCGTTTTCTTGTGGGGTGAAGATTTAAAGGACAATTAAACCCTCAGCGTCTTTTGCACATGTCTACTGCTAGCAAACAGAAGATATAAGCAAAAATATTTTTTAAAAGTTACGAAAAAGGTTAAAACGTACCTGTGTCTCTGCCGCGCGCTCCCATACGAAGATCTGAAAAATCTCGGGCATGCGCAGTACAGATCTTCGGCCTGGAGAAGAGGAGAGACACAAAGGGTAAGTCTATGCAGGCAGCCTGGCAGGGTGCACCCACACGGACTCCGTGGGACACAAAAGACTCAGCAGTCAGCGCTGGATCAGAGACCGGCACCAGCGCTGAAGGGACTCCTGAAAACTACTGAAAAGAAGATGAACGGATCAAGTGGCATCATTTAAGGTAAGTCCTTACGCCAGCATGGGGGGTGGGGGCTGCTGATGATCCTTTTATACCACTTGAAACCACTTGCGATGGTTGTAAAGTGATTAAAAAAACGTACGATCTGCCCATCTTGGACAGGCAGATCGTACTCTCGATCATCGCAAGCCCGCCCCCCTGAGGGGCGGGCTTCCGATGATCGCAATGCTGAACGGGCAGTGTGCGCGTGCGCACACCGGCCCGTTCGGCATTTGTCTCCCGAGCACCGTTCAAACCAGCCGAAAATCGTACGATTTTCTGCTGTTTTTTTAGCGTGCTCCCTAGACAAAAGACGTGCGACCGTACAGTAAAAACGGTTGCACGTCTTCCATACACTTTGCGATTATCCTACGATCGCGTGATTTCCCGCGATTATCGTGCGATAATCACACAGTGTATGGGCACCTTTAGAACCAACAGAAAGATTTCCCTCACCCTCTAGTCTGGTGTTAACGCTAAAATCTGGGATTTCTCATCTCTTTCTGTTTCCGTGACCATGGACACCAGTGCACATAGAGTACCGGTAGGTGAACCTGTCTAGTTGGTAAAGAGGCAGCAATCGAAAATTGACATCTCTCTAAAAAAGTTTTGTCTTGTATCTATTTTAAATGTCATTGTGATGCCAAAAGGCACGGAGAACCGAGGCAAATCAGGGTGGCAACTAGCGATCAGATTGTCCTGAAAACATACTGAAGGTAAATTAATCAAATCTGGAGCAGCAGTGCATGGCAACCAATCAGCTTCTCTCTTTCATTTTTAAATCTTAACTGGACAAACTGACCAGGGAAGCTGATTTGTTGCCATGATCATCTGCGCCAGTTTTAATAAATGTTTCCCTTTGTAAACCAGTGTTGGAGGTGTTTCATTCGCTTCTCCTTCCATTGCCCAAGTGCTACTTCCCCCCACACACACACACACCTTACCGCTGGCTGCCTGCCTGGTAACAGAGAATACAGTTCAAATCTCTGACTCTGTAAAACTCTTTCCAAGCTACCATCTCCCTACATCTCCTCATTTCATTTCCCAAGCCTGTTACTATTGCAGCTTCTGCTCTGCCAGTGACCTTTTCCTCTCCTAGAGACCTTTTCCTCTCCTCTACTCTTGTCACCTTTTCATACTCTCACCTCCAGCAAACCTCACATGCCTCAACAGTTATCTGGAACTTCCTTCCCAGGTCATTCAGCATTCTGCAACTCCTTATATCTTCAAACGCACTTTTAAAACTCACCTCTGTAGACAACTTTATGTCCTCTTCTATTATACAAACTCTTCAGTCATGGATCTGTCTATACTTAACGTTCACTGCTGCTTGGCAAGGTGCGAACTGTCAGTCCATATATTCTTTCTTATTCCCTAAATATTGTACCTAACCTTTATTCCTTTGGAGGGAGAGCTTTTATGGTCACTTTTATCACATGCTGTTGTTGCTGTATTAGTTATTTTATGCAGTTGTGTACATTTTCGGGGTTGGCTTACTAATGGAGTTTAAAATGATGACTTAGGAAAGTGAATGTCGTCTTTGTAATGCAAATGTTTACTCAACTGAATAAGGAAAGGTAAAGCGGTGTTCACTTCAACCAATCATATGCTAGGAAAACCTTTTTTCCATTACAGATGCTCCTCGGGATGCGATTGATCGAGTTACGATCTTTCACATTTAGAATGGAATTTACTGTATAGTAAACTCCCAGTTATTCGGCACCCACAGAGATCAGTAGGTGCCAGATAACTGCAGTTTCTGGTTGATGGAGAGTTAATAGTAACTCTCAAACAACCATCCCGAGGCACCCCACTTCCCCATTCACCTGGCGTCTAGCTTCCACAGCTGACAGATGAATGGAAGAAAGCGGGAGCAATAGCCAGACTGCTATTGGCTATTTCAAATTGCAATAGCCAATAGCAGGCTGGCTATTGCACCTGTCCACTGAGCAGAGGAACGGACCTGAACGATAACTTTCCACTCCTTAGTGGGCAAGGTTTCAATAGCCAGGCTCCTATTGCAATTTGAAATAGCCAATAGCCGTCTGGTTATTGCTCCCCATTGTGTACTTTCTGCTGCCGACCAAGGCAGTAAAGTACACTACAGTACCCTCCTCGGTTTACAATATGATACTATGGGTTTATCAGAACGTAACCCCATCGTAAGCCGAGGAATGTGTATTTTTTATTTCCCTTAGACATTATTGAGTATTCGAACATTGGGTCAACTCATTTACTAGCAATTGCTTTTCAAGGTAACCAGAAGTGGATTGCCTTTTAGTAATTTAGCTCCCTTACGTCTAGTGGGTTTATCTATGTGTATCATCTGTACTCTTCAGGTTTATTTTTAACACTATCCCTGTAGAGTGCTACGGAAGATATGATGGGGCTATATACATTTTAAATATCAGAAGTTTAGTTTAACAAAGCCCAAAATCTTTTCTTCCTCATTACAAAAATGTATGTCAAGATAAACCTCAGACCGGGTTGTAGCAGCATCTTGCTTCTGGGAGCCGCGTGATAAGCTATAATGTGCATATGTTGGTGACTGCTATAGACAATAATAGGATGCCCAGCAGGTCTTTAGAGACTGTAACCACTGCACAGGCCCAGATATTGGACCTGATGTTTTAAAACCCAGTGGGTTTGTTATCTACACACAGGTCTGTTATGGGAAATTGACATTTACTCATCGCTAACTGAGTAGTATTTACTACTGTAGGCCTTTCATGTAAAAGATCATTTACCCAAAACTCATATCTGCTTTGGAGAGACAATTTGTGTTGTGGGTTTGGAGAATGTCATATCTTATTTGACTTTCTTAATAATGTAACTGTCATGGTCTCTGTACTCCCATCATGACCCAAATTGCAGAAAAAAAGTACTAAAACCTACCTGTTTCTTCTTATATGTTCTATTTCTTAACTTGTATTTGATTCTTAGGTGATGGATATCATAATGTACTGCTTGGAAGGATCTTTGCTGAAGAAAAAAGGGCTACAGGATTGTTTCCCTTCCATTTGTCGGTGAGTATAATGTTGGGGTATATAGTGCACATTATCCAATTACTTTAATCCACTGTTAAAAGGTCAGTCTACCAAAAAGCTATATACAAGTACTTTATGGAGCTTGGTAGGCTGAGTCAGCCCCTGTCCTTTTATATGTCATGGTTGCTACAACACTAAGTTTTTCCTGACATTCCTTGCTCCATTTGTGTCTTCCTAGGAGTTTTGGGTGTTCCCACTTTGTGTTTTCCTGCTGTTCTTGTTACCTTCTCTATAGCTTTGACTGAAAAAAATCTAACAGGGAGAGTGGTAGATGTGCAGACCCAAAATCTCAGTACACAGATCTCACCCATAGAATCTCTGGGTATTCTATGGGTGAGAAAATGTATTCTATGGGAAAATGTATTCTATGGGGAAAAAAAAATGTGAGGTGGCTTTAACTCTTGAACATCTACTAGAGATAGTAATAGAAGTTTGGGTAGACTGACCCTTATTTGGTCCTTCCTTGTAAATCGAAGGTTTTCTCTATTGAAAGCCCCCTTGCCTTAAACTTAAATCACCTACAAATGCGTTAAAAATATATATATATATTTTGACCCAATTTACAATGCTTCCACTGCAATGAGCTGTAGCACATTGTTGTGGGATTTTGAGCCTCCAGCTTTCCCAGGAGGGATCGGTAAGGCATGGTGACATCACCTGCATCTCCTGGAAATGTCAGAAACCGGGATAATGTCCTTCTTTGTTTTGCAATAGCTTTACCTTTAAACACCTTTGTAGGCAATTTGCTTTTGGGCATTTGGGGTGTTTTCAAGAGAGAGCATTTGTTTTTCACATTATGCTGCAAGAACATCTATAAAGACGATATTCTGAAGCTAAATGGTGCGGATAACATATCTTATAGTGTATGTTGTGGTGCCATCCACCAGTTATTCCAGCACCCAAAGGATCTAGAAGGAGGAGTTTATCGGTATGGTACACAGTACAGTGGAGATATTATTATTCAACAGAGAGCAGGCTCCATTTTTATGAAAGATCTGTTTTAAAGTATTTTAAAGACATAAAGTTATAGTAGCCCAATTCCTTAGAAAAAGGTCAGATTGGAGATATCTGGCTACTTGTACCCCTTGACACTCACTGACCCAATTCTGCATACATGATCCAAGTGTATGTTTGTTTTTTAAAGGATTTTCACAAAAATACTGTTTTCTGCTGTCGAATTGTGATCACACATCCAACCTCCTTTGGTGCATGTGACCCACTTAGTTTAGTTTATTTTTTTAAGCTTTGCTTTCTTAAAAGCAGATGTATTGCCTTTTGAGAGATCCAATTGGTAAAGTTTTTATTTAAAGTGCAATAACTCTCTTTGGACTAATGCAGGTGGGCTTCCATCACTATACTATGTTGGCCAATGAGACATGAAATTAGGCTAAATTACCCAATGGGGACCCAGGCAGCAAAACAAACTTGACATAAGCTCTAACCCTTCCCTGTTCTATAAAACTAAAAAATAAATAGTTGGCTGTGTGTATGGTTTAATTAACCTGACAGTTTCTCATATCGCTAAGCAATTCCTTGTAGAACAACCTATAACAAAAATATTAGTTTTGGGCTTGTCAACTCTGTTTAAATGTCCATTCCCCAAACTTTGCCAGAGACCATGTGACCAGTACCCCCATTCCAAAATGTAATTGTTAAAGGAAAAGGCTCATTTTCACAGTACAAATAACATGTCAAAAAATGAAAACTCTCACACACGCACACACACACGCACACACACACGCACACACACACACACATACATACATACAGTACTGTGTGAAAAAGTGCTGTAAAGTAAATAAAAGAGTTAATAGTTTATTTTGATCAATTAACAAAATGGAAAGTAAATGAACAGAAGAGAAATCCAAATCAAATCAATATTTGGTGTTACCACCCTTTGCCGTCTTCTAGGTAGACTTGCACACAGTTTGTGAAGGAACTCGGCAGGTAGGTTGTTCCAAACATCTTGGAGAACTAAGCATAGATATTCTGTGGATGTCGGCTGCCTCCAGTCCTTCCAGCTCTTCATGTAATCCCAGACAGACTCCAGGATGTTGAGATCAGGGCTCTGGGGGCCAAACCATCACTTCCAGCACTCCTTGTTCGTCTTCACACTGAAGATGGTTCTTAATGACATTGGCTGTATGTTTGGGGTCGTTGACCTGCTGCAGAATAAATTTGGGGCCAATCACATGCCTCCCTGATGGTATGGCATGATGGATAAGTATCTGCTTATATGTCTCAGCATTGAGGACACCATTGATTCTGACCAAATCTCCAACTCTATCATGCTTCACTGTTGCCTGCATACACTCATTATTGTACTGCTCTCCAGCCCTTCATCAAACAAACTGCCTCCTGTTACAGCCAAATATTTGACTCATCAGTCCAGAGCACCTGCTGACGTTTTTCTGCACCCCAGCTCCTATATTTTCGTCCTTAGATGAGTCGCTTAGCCTTGTTTCCACGGCAGAGGTATGGCTTTTCAGCCGCAATTCATCCATGAAGACCGCTTCTGGCCAGACTTCTGCGGACAGTAGATGGGTGTACCTGGGTCCCACTGGTTTCTGCCTGTTCAATGCTCATAGCAGGGGAAGTAAGCATGATGTGTCTTTCAGCTGCTGCATTGTTTCCTTGGCCGACCATTGCGTCTATGATCCTCAAAATGTTCAATGGTGGTAGCAACATTAGCGATAAACTGTTTAAAGTTAACTCCATTACAAAAACTAGAGGCCTTAATCACCTAAAATTGGTGGGAAAAAAAATTCCAGCACAAGGGGCGAAGGGGGTTCTTCACAGTAAGATCAGTTAGGGTCTGGAACTCACTGCCGCAGGCGGTGATTTTAGCAAATAATGTGGAATTGTTCAAGAAACTTTTGGACGATTTCTTAAGGGAATGAATGAGATCCTAATAGGTTGGACTTGATGGACGTATGTCTTTATTCAACCTCAAATACTATGTAACGTTGCCCGTCTCTTTGTGCTTCTTCAAACAAGCTTGAACAGAGCATCTTGAAACGCCAATCTGCTTTGAAATCTTTGTTTGGGAGAGACCTTGCTGATGCAGTATAACTACCTTGTGTCTTGTTGCTGTGCTCAGTCTTGCCATGGTGTATGACCTGTGACATGAAACTGTCTTCCACAACCTCACCTTAGCAGCAGAGTTTGGCTGTTCCTCACCAGTTTTGAGCCTCCCACAGCTGTTTGTTTGTTAATGAATGTGTTTCAACCTACATATGAAATTGATGATCATTAGCACCTGCTTGGTATAATTGGTTAATCATACACCCGACTCTAATCCTACAAAGTTTCTGACTGTGTGCAAGTGTAAGAATTAATGCTGGTTTGAAGCCAAATGGTAGTGACACCAAATATTGATTTGATTTTGATTTGTCTTCTGTTATAAATTGATCAAAATAGATAATAAAAATAGATATTTCTGAGAGCATTCTTACTTTACAGCATTTTTTCACACCTGCCAAAAACTTCTGCACAGTACTGTTTGTATAAAATATACATAGATAGATATGTTCACTTGTGCTCAAACGTTTGCATAAATCGTGACGTTTTGGCATTGACATTGAAAATATGACCATGCCAAAAAACTTTATTTAAGGATGGTGATTATATGAAGCCATTTATTATCACATAGTTGTTTGGCTCCTTTTGAAATCTTAATGATGACAGAAAGTACCCAAATGGCCCGGATCAAAAGTTTACATACCCTGGAATGTTTGGCCTTATTACAGACGCACAAGGTGACACACACAGGTTAAAATGGCAATGAAAGGTTCATTTGCCACATCTGTGGCTTTTTAAATTGCAATTAGTGTCTGTGTATAAATAGTCAATGAGTTTGTTAGCTCTCATGTGGATGCACTGAGCCGGTTAGATACTGAGTCATGGAGAACAGAAAAGAACTGTCAAAAGACCTGCGTAACATGGTAATGAAACTTTATAAAGATTGGAAAGGATATAGAAAGATATCCAAAGCCTTGAAAATGCCAGTTAGCACTGTTCAATCACCTATTAAGAAGTGGAAAATTCAGGGATCTCCTGATACCAAGCCAAGGTCAGGTAGACCAAGAAATATTGCAGCCACAACTGCCAGAAGAATTGTTCGGGATACAAATAAAAACCCCACAGGTAACCTCCAGAGTAATACAGGCTGCTCTGGAAAAAGATGGTATGGTTGTTTCAAGGAGCCCAATACGACGATACTTGAACAAAAATGAGCTGCATGGTCGAGTTGCCATATAGAAGATTTTACTGCACCAATGCCACAAAAAGGCTTGGTTATAATATGCCCGAAAACACCTTGACACACCTCACAGCTTCTGGCACACTGTAATTTGGAGTGGCAAGACCCAAATAGAGGTTTATGGTCACAACCATGAGCGCTATGTTTAGAGAGAGGTCAACAAGGCCTATAGCGACAAGAATACCATCCCCTCTGTGGAGCATGGTGGTGGCTGATGTTTTTTTTGGGGGGGGTGAGCTCTAAAGGCACCAGTACTCTTGTGAAAACTGATGGCAAGATGAATGCAGCATGTTATCAGAAAATACTGGCAGACAATGTGCATTCTTCTGCATGAAAGCTGCGCATGGGACGCTCTTGGACTTTCCAGCACGACAATGACCCTAAGCACCAGGCCGAGTTGACCCTCCAGTGCTTACAGCAGAAAAAGGTGAAGGTTCTGCAGTGGCCATCACAGTCTCCTGACCTCAATATCATTGAGCCACTCTGGGGAGATCTCAAACGTGCAGTTCATGCAAGACGATCAAAGACTTTGCATGACCCGGAGGCATTGTGCCAAGACGAATGGGCAGCTACACCACCGGCAAGAATTCTGGGCCTCATAGACTACTATTACAAAAGACTGCACGCTGTCAATGATGCTAAAGGGGGGCAATACACAGTATGAGAAACTAAGGGGATGAAGACTTTTAAACAGGGGTCATTGTTTTATTTGTTGCCATGTTTTGTTTTATGATTGTGCAATTCTGTTATTACCTACAGTTCAATATGAATCCCATAAGAAATAAAAGAAATGTGCTTTGCCTGCTCATTCATGTTTTCTTTAAAAATGGTACATATATCACCAATTCTCCAAGGGTGTGCAAACGTTTGAGCACAACTGTATGTAAGGATGGATAGAAATTTAGACAGTATAGGTTACTTTTCAAGGCAAAACTTTTTGCATGAGGTGCACATTTATTGAGATGCTTGTGTATTCAATAAACAGTCTTAGCCTAATTATAAAACTGTATATATGGGAATAAATATTGTCTGGGTCGATCGGCTTTCATATACTGTTTGAATCTGCTTGTTCAACAGAAGCCTTTTGTCAGAGTTAATTGAAAAGCAACCTTTTACTATCTTGCATCTTAATTACCTGGCCCTTTACATGGGCCTCCGTGATGAAATCCCTCTTGTAAAACGTGAGTTATTTGCTGTCCGGGTCTCTATTAAATCTGCTTGTTAATATCGGTGAGCTTTAACAAGCAAATTGTAAGCAAATGATTCCATCTGCACCAAGCCGGCATTACAGGAGAGTGAGATGACAGCACCAGAATAAATGTGTAATGCTGGCAATTCTTTGTGTTCTGTGTATACAACTGTCTATTCTATCACGGTTACCTGTGTTATCCGCAGCACTTTCATTCGGACAATGTTTACTGGGTTAATGTTCCATAACATTTCAAGAATTCCATCATAGCAGGCTGCCCACAAATCCAGATGTAATATTTACCTCTTTATGTTTCATCATTGCCTGTTGTCCTCTACTTACAGTGTACGTCTGGGCAAAATGAAGAAAAAAAAAGCATTTATCTGTAATACATGAAAATTGTCCATGTTTTTGTGTTTTCAAAATACCGCCAGTACAGAAAAATATCTGGTGATGTGCCAGAAAGCAAGTGAGCTCCTAACTTCCTGTTTGGGCTGAAAACACAGAGCCTCTGTTGCACTGAAAACCCAACTAAACTGCAGAACAATAGAATACTTCTATTGTGCCTACAAGTTTAATACCTTTGAATAAAAGTTTTATTTTTATCACACTTTTTAATATGTTTCTTTGCGGCTTAACAAAATAGGAGTCTTTAAATGGTGCATATATTGGGGGAAATGGGTGTGGTTACGGGGGCGTGGCCACTAAAGGGTGTGGCCACTGAGGGGCGCTGTAAAGCTTTCTCGCACAGGGCGCCTAAAGGCCTAAGGCCGGCCCTGAACAATCCCCCCTCCTTATATCCATGATATGTAGAAGGTGTTCTGTAGTCCAGCAGAGGAGAACTGGACGGGGCCGACTGCACTGCTTGGAAGTTCAACAGAGGCAATGTTGTACTTTCACTGGATTTCTGGCTACAATAGGTATTTTTTGTATTTGCTGTTTTTAAAGAAAGAAAACAAATGTGCATGTATTTAAGAGGTACTGCATATGTTTTCGGGGGGAGGGGGGGTTTGCCCCCCAAAAAATGCAATTAACGTTAACCTCTGGAACAATTAAATATTGTTTAGTTTTGGCTTTTTTTAAATTATATATTATAATATTTTTTAATGATCATTTTGTATATTATTAATTTTTTTATTTTTTGTGCAGTAATCCAGTGTAAAACTTTACCTCTGTGCGGGAGCTTCCTGTAAAAAGACCGGTCACTGCTCTCTCCCTGAGCAGGGTGACTGGCCTGGTCTCCGTCCCCTACTGTAGTTTTCTGCAGGCAGTCTGTAGAGGGTGGGGCCTGTTGGGCCCCTTCCACTGCTCAGCTCTCTGCACAGGTTCTGTAAAGCACAGTAATGTCACCACTACTTTTACAATGTGATACTGTATATGGGTCTACAAAGGCATTTGGTGCACACAGAGTGGATTTATATCCTTTGTGGCTAGGGAGGAATATATTTAAATAAAAGCTTTGGTTCCCGGAGTTTAGTGTTAAAAGTTGAACTAAATGGCAAGCAGCGAATTACACAAACTGCAGAATGTGTTGACTGTAATTGACAGCTTGACTTCATCTTCTCTGTGCCATGCTAGTGACAAGATGGTGGTGCCCAATGGAGTAGTAATTGGACTCATGGGACATGGGAGGAGAGGTTTTGATTGATTTTGGGGACGTGTTTAAAAATATAATAGTTCACATTTGGCAATGAATTATGTAAACACTGGCAAAGGAAAGTGTGGCTTTAATGTTATTGTATGAACGGAGCCTGTCATCCTGTATCTCACCATCTCTGGTCTCCTCCAGGTTCTACATGGTCAGTTACTGTGAGCGCAGCCACAGAATAGCAGTAGGAGGACGTCAGGGTTCCGTGGCTTTGTATGACATACGGACTGGAAAGTGCCAGGTAAGTGGCTGAAGGACTTTTCTTCCCTTATTGAGCTCTTGTGCTGGGGGACATGTTCAAAAGAAGAAGTTCCATTTTTTATTCAGTAAACAGGAATATAGATCTTCTTTTTAATACGTTTGGGTGCTTATCCAGCACTTGCCATCTTTGTTATTGGGCACGTGAAGCCATAAGTCAGGTATGTGAACTCCTCTGAAAACTATTTGAATCCAAGCTGAGAACACTTTTTCTGGAAAAATGAATGAACAAAGTACGGTCCATGGCAGGAGTAGGCAAACTCTGGCCCTCCACCTGTGGTGCAACTACAAATCCCATTAGGCATTGCAAGACTCTTGACAGCCACAGCTATGACCCCCAGAGGCAGATGCATAATGGGATTGTAGCTGGAGGGCCGGGGTTTGCCTACCCCTGGTCTGTTGGATCACAACAAACTATTCAATAATAGTACCTGTGTTTAGTAACTCCACTTCTTTTGATACACGACACGCTTGCCCTACTGGGCTGTGTAATCTGCTATGAATTTTTAAATGCCCAGGAGGGTCTCTTAAAACGGGTCTAGTTGCCCTTTTGTTGGAAATATTACCGCACAAACATAAATAAAATTACAACATTTTATTAATGCATCTCATTAAAATCATAAACATTTAAAAGCAAATAGAACCGGAACACAGTACCCTTGTGACTGGCCCATTGGTCCCACATCAATCAGCACCTCCACAGAGGGGAAACAGACAAAGTCTAAACCCATAAAGGGCATATGTAGCCATAGGTAAGCCGAGGATCTTGCAGTGCTGAAGAATTATTTGTCTTGACGCGTTTCTCCTGTAAAGGCTTCCAAAAAACCTAACCCTCCGGTGGTCTTAGTCGAGCCCCCCTATATATGTTGGTGGGGGCTCAACTAAGACCACAGGAGGGGGTAGAGCCCCACACGATACCACCAGGGTGCTGCGCTAAAGCCAAGCTTTTAGGAGATGTTTAGCCAGCATCCGTCCCAGATGGCGAGAGCTGTGTAATCTGGTATGATTATCAGCAGGAGGTGGTCAGACAGACGCAAGATGATTCTTGGTGTCAGCCACTGAGCTGCATGTTAGGTGTCCTGCCATTGCAGAGAGTGCTTATTGCTCATATTTAGCACCTAATATCATACCCTAGTCTCCGGTTTCTTCAAAAATCTTTAAAATGTTGTACACTTAGTTTTTTTTCCTGGAAACCTTTGTACAGCTTCTGAACACTCTTAAAGTATATGTCTAGGGAAAAACATATATATTCAGTACATCTCTGCAATACATGCATGTTTTTACGAGCCCAAACCTGGGAAAATGTGCATGTATTGCAGAGATGTACTGAAATTTGTTTTTTTATTTTGCCCATGTATATAATATACTATATATACTGTAGGTACTCTGAATATCTATATATAGTATATTATATTCTAGATGCTTTGAGTCTCTTACTTATAACAATGATAAAATATCTGACTACTTTGACTTTCCTAATATGCATTTTTGTGCTGACTCATTACAGCCAATGTCAACGAAAAATTGGGTGGAAAAAATCATATGCAATACACCACTGCAATGCATACACAATTCTCCATGTGTAATCTCTTCAAGCACCCTGCAAGTACAGAACAATACCTGTTAATCTGCTAGAAGTGCACTCAATGCTAAACTACTCAACCACTCCCACTCTTAGATCTCCACAACATTAAAATAGAACTATGGGGTAAGTGTTTTTCCACATAGGTCTCTATAGGGTCACGGGAGGGCATATACTAACGTCCATCCGTGACCCAAAGCTCAGTATATAGTTTGCTATTACCCACCATATACTGACAGCGCTGCAGCCGGGACAGATGCTGACAATGTCGTTATCTACCCAGCTGCGTCACTGACAGCTGGCTCTGCCTATCTAGAGGCAGAGCCAGCTATGCCCGCCCCCTCCCCCATTTGTTCCTCCACTCAGCGCTGGAGGATCGGAGAGGGGAGGAATCCCTGCGGGGAGCGGTGACTGATAGTCACCGCTCTCTGCAGGGAGAAGATCGGGAAGTCAGCGGATCGGCTGCATGTTTCTGCTTACTTCCCGATCAATAGAGCCAACCTGTGACAGCTTCTTTGTCACAGGTCGGCTCTAACTATGAGGATGAGTGGATATCACTGACCTCATAGTCCTCCTTTAAGGCTAAGCATTCCTAAGTCCATTATAAGAAATTGGAGGGATAAATATTCCTCTTTGAGGCAAAGGACAAAGGACAGCTCTGAATTTCTGACAAGATCAACACGGTTGTTTTCCACTTATTAAATACATATAACAAAATGTTTCCAAAAGTATTTTTAACAGACCAACAGCAAGCAAATAGGAGAAGTTCATTGGTAGGGTTTACATATGCTAAAATGAGACCAGTGGGTCAGTGTAATAAGCTGACCTCATGAAATCTAGGTAAACAATGGCAGCCTCCATGTCTCTCAGTAAAGATTTCCTTTAAAGTGAACCTGGCTAGTCTGATAGGGTGGTGCTGCCACTTCAAATTGTATTAGGAAGTGCAAGTTTCTGAGCTATGATCCTCATCTTCAGCTTCACTATTTAGCAAGTCACTGACCTGGAACAAGTAGGCACACATTAAGTTGGAACCACCGTGCTTGTTTCGTGTTAGTCGATGAGATCAGATCCTCATCCCCTGAAGGAAACCAGAGGTGGCAGTACCAGTATATATGATGGGTTTGACAGAAAAGTCTTGATAATTTTGATGAGAAAACAAAGCTTTGTTGAATTCATTAAAGAGTTTTATCTAAATGCTGAAAATCTGTAATAATGAGCACATCTATCATTTGCATGTATTCATTATCAGAGGTTGCAGCTCTCATCATCTGTCCCTTGTTCCAGAGAATGCCGGGCCTGCCATCACACCCCTCTCCCACCCCCCCTCCTTACACCTTTACCACTCAGGAGTATCGAGTGCACCAACAGGAATAAGTCTTATTTCCTGAAGCAGCTTGGTGCAGAGCTGTACAACAAAGCTACACAGAAAGTGCCTACAGTACAGAAACACCTTCCAATGCTTCTGCTGGGCTTTGTCATCTGACCTAATGTCACATTACCAAAAGAAGAGGGGAAACATTTCCTGCTGGCACTTTGCTGCCTACTAGGCGGTAATGAAGGAGGCTCCAAAAAAGGGGAGCTATGTCACTCTTTACAATCCCAGGTGATGCTTGCAGCAATAGGAGAAGCTGTAGATGAGACTCGGTGATTTCTTTTCTTTTCTTTACAAAAGATAAATCCTGCTTTCAAAAGTTTGCTCAAATTGTGCTTTGTGTTGAAAAGTAAACTCTTGCAGACATAATTCCCTTTGGAAATCTCCCTCCCAGCATTTGCACCAGTTAGCATGTTGCCTTGTTAAAACATTATGCCTAATGCCGTCATGATCGATATTTTAATGAAGAAAGTAAAGAGACAGAGCTGTTCTGTTTTGCAGGATCAGGGGCCAGGTCATGTGTTGCAGGATAAGAAATTAAAATACTTAGCAAAATGTGCATTAGAGGGAAGTGTTATCAGATAATGTGCTGTGTGACTTTTCCCGCCGGATACCTTTTAATGCGATGGAATGAACAAAAGCTCTATGAAGCTCGCTGTCTCAAAAAAACACATTTGTTTTTCATCTATTGAGGGACACAAGAAGTCTTCATCTTTCATGTTATACTGCTGCCTACAGAGGGATGGGACACTGGCCGACCCCCCCCTTCCCCAAATAAAATAAACCAGCCCAGCATATTACATTACTAGTATCCTAGGAGGAAGGATGTCTTTTCTTCAGCTCTATTGTGCTAAAGACTTCCCCTATCTCTAAAGACTTAATTTGTAGGCCAGTGAAGGCAAGCACTCGGAGCTACCTTATTACCTTATTTAGGTAGGTCGCCAGGCACCATTGTTACCCATTCCCACTCGTTTTGCAATGGAAGGGGTTAACACTGCGGGGCTGAATGCAGATGGCATCTGCTGGGTGGAGTGTTACGTGCTCTGTGCTCTCATTCCCACTATACAGTGTCAAAGAAGCATCTGATACTGTACATGGTGCCCCCAGCTCACACTCTTCTAACAGTTCACAGGCTTCTTGCAGCACTCCTACTGATGATGCCAATGTCTACAGCCTGGGGTCCTGTTGCCTTCTGTTCTTTGAAATCTATCCCATCCTCAGAGTCCTCTTAAGCTCCGTCAGGAGTGGCTGGATTCATTCCCCATTTTGGGTGAGGTTTTTACTACAGTCATGCAAGACTTTGACCCAAATCACCCAGTTATATGCTGACTCTGATCGCAGATGTACAAGCACACTCGCATGCACTCCCCTGCACATTCTACAGCTGATATTCTCCCAGCCTTAACAGAGTCAAAGCCATTGGCTGCAGAGATTCTATCTGATTCTGAGTAGCTCCTGTCCTTAACTAATGAGCTTTACCCCTGAGAAGTCACCGTCTACTGCTATTACTCCCAAATTAAAGGAGACTGTTTGGTGGCTCTGATAAATTAGCAGTGTTATTCACAAAAGGGTGAAGAGTTTGGAGAAGGCCGGAGAAGTGAACAATCTAGGAGAACATACCTGACCTGGAAAGTGAGCAGAATTGGAGATTTTTTTTGCTAAATCGACAATGTTGTCCTAGATTGTTCTCTTCTCCTGCCTTCTCCAAACTCTTCACCCCTTTGTGAATAACACTGTAAGTGTGCATCACACTGAAACTAGAGCGTCAGCCCATCTAAGCAACTGTTTCCCAGATTTGCAAGGCTTGTCAGCTGGTCTTCTGTTTACATGTTTTGACCTCATCTAATACCAGCTTTGGGCATAAAGTCCTTTCTAAACTGTGAGCGGACCTCTGTTCTCTGTTGCTTTTTGGACCTTCTCGGTGCTGCTTTGTTACGAAACTAAATTATACTGTTTTTTTTTTCTAAATCCTTCTGTAGGCAGCAGTATAACCTGAAAGTTAAAGACTTCCTGTGTCCCCCAAGAAAAG